ATAATAATAATAATCATCATCATCATCATCATCATCATCATCATCATCATCATCATCATCATCATCATCATCATCATCATCATCATCATCATCATCTCGGTCCATCTGCAGATGATTCAAGTTTTGCTCCAAGTTATCTGCTCATGTAAAGTTCAGCATTTAAGGAGGGCAACCAAACATTATTTGCATTAGCATCCTATTAAGCTTTTCACCTAAAGCTTTAATGATTTCCCTAACGGCTCTTTCTGCTGGATATTCTTGTATACTTTCCTTTAAAAGCTTTTAAACAAGGCTAACTCCTAGCTTTAAATCCTGGTTCGGATGCTGCACAAAAAGATAGCATTTTAGAGCAACTTTTGGTCTACGTTTGGCCTTGCAAGTAAATGAAACATGAAATGTACACGTCGAGAGGAAGCCATGCATTTTATTGCTTATCTCCATTCTAGAGATCTGATGTTGCACAAGGCAAAACCAAACGGATGCTCTTGGAAATGTCTTATTTGTGAAATCTAAGTCCTGACTTTTCCTCAAGTAAGCTCAAGGTGGCATACGTGAAGCTACTCTTTCCTACTTTATCCTTGAGGCAACACTCTGAGATCAGGGTGTGTGTTTCAAGCCTGAGGCTGGAATCTTTCTGGTGACAGATGCAAAACTCTTAACCACTACACTGGCTTCTGTTCACTGGATGGTTTTCATGCATGCTCACAGGGCCAATTGATTTGGGATGCATTCGTCAGCTAAAATGTATGCAGCTTTTGCCTCAACTGGTTCATACTAATTAATCTTAGTAATAGCAAAGAAGTGACATTACTTTACTTCCTCCTACACGCAGCCTGAATCACTAACCCAAGCCAGCTATTCTACAGCTGCCATATTGATATGGTGACACACACACCCCATACTCTATTATGGTGAATAAAATTATCTTCCCAGCTGTAGGATAAAAGGCTGGATGAAATACCCTCTTGCTACAGTAATTCAATTCTATGAGAATGCTCGAGAGCGCTGCTTGTTATGTTCTGCAGGACAGTGTGTTACTAGTAGCTTCACAATGCAGGTGGCGCAGAAAAGAGTTAATACTGCAGTAACAGCAGCGCTAAGCAGCAAAAGAGTGCAATACTGCAGAAATCTTTTTCCCTGGAACTATAAGCCTAACAGGAACACCTCTAGGCAGAACTGCTCAAAACAGCTGTCCCTCCGAACAGTCGCACCTACACGCAATTTAGTCCAGAACGATGTGAATTTTCTAGACTACAACCTCCAGAATCCCCAAGCCAAAACTGTGGAATTCTGGGACTTGTAGGTTTTTTTTAAGTAACTCCTCAAAGCTCTGGTCTGGATATTAAAAGTAACCCTTCCCAGGAGGATGCATCCAAAGTTTTCCATATTTACATCACGCAAGCATCCACTACTGTGATTTTTTAAAAAAATGGCAGGGGGTCTTCGCTTATCAGTCCCAAAAGGCTTGGACTTAAGAGTTCATTCAAGACCCACCAGTGGCGAAAACAGGGAGAAAGCTGAGGATGCAGTAACAGAAAATTTGTTAGCCACTGGAAAGATGCACAAAGTCATCTTCCCCAGCTCCTCTAACAAAACTAAGCATCCTGGCCTATGCCGAGTCCGTTTGATCAGCCAAGGAATACATCCCACTCCCACCTGATGTGTTCTAGACCAGTGGTCCTCAACCTTGGGCCTCCAGATGTTCTTGGACTTCAACTCCCAGAGATCCTGGCCAGCAGAAATGGTGGTGAAGGCTTCTGGGAGTTGTACTCCAAGAACATCTGGAGGCCCAAGGTTGGGGACCACTGTTCTAGACAAGACCATTTGGGATGTGTATGTTATATATGCTGTGTCAACAGAAAATCTCAATGCAAAAGCCATTCCCCAAACAGTGTAGAGCCAAGAGAAAAAGTTCAAACATGCTCCCTTCCGGCACCTATGCTTTTGTTTTAAGTACCTGTAAATTATCAGGATTCAAATCCGTCTTGTGCTGGTCCGAAGGCTTGTAACCTCCATGTCGGTCCTCAATAACGGGATCAAAGAGTTCCTTAAACACCTCATAGCATTCCTCATCACCAGCTACACATCCTACTGTCATAATGTAAGGATGGCCTACAGGGATTGACAAGGCAGAAGAGCCACGTTTCAGATGATACTCAAGAACCGGGTTACTACCTCCCCATTCAAACAACCAAGATGACAAAACTGTGATTTTTGCATTTTGTTCGCTTTGCAAGCTCTAAACTAACCATATTTTGCAATGACGCAAGAGCCCAATTCATTAAGACTTCACAGTTTGGATACAAGTTTGTATAACCATCTGTAGAACAACCTTATTAAAAGGCTCATTAAATACATATAATTAAGTGGGGTTGTTTTTTTTAAGGTGGGGGCCTGGTTTAGCAGAAAGATCTGAATGTCTATAAAAGTGTTCTGCTTATATACCACCCCACAGTGCTTAAAGCACTTTCTGGGTGGTTTACAATTTAATTATGCAGGCTACACTTTGCCCCCTACACCAGTGAGCTCATTTGACCAACCTCAGAAGGATGGAAGGCTGAGTCATCCTCAAGCCGGCTATCTGAGTCCATCAGGATCAAACTCAGGTCATGAGAGGAGTCTTGACTGCAGTTTAATCTCTGTGCCACAAGGCCCCTTTTTATAATGTACTGAGTACTTCAAACCAAGTACTTCACTGCCCTAAGCCGATCAATTTTTCCCCTAAATTAATGAGCTCATTTGACCAACCTCAGAAGGATGGAAGGCTGAGTCATCCTCAAGCCGGCTATCTGAGTCCATCAGGATCAAACTCAAGTCATGAGAGGAGTCTTGACTGCAGTTTAATCTCTGTGCCACAAGGCTCCTTTTTATAATGTACTGAGTACTGTACTTCAAACCAAGTACTTCACTGCCCTAAGCCGATCAATTTTTCCCCTAAATTAATAGCATGTCGAATCTATGATTTGTAGCATAGCAGAGAATAAAGTGAAGGCCGGCAGCTCACTGAGCAAGGTTTAATAGTTGCAGACTATAACTCAGCAACATCCATTTGCCTAGATAAAATCTTTAGCTATTAAACTTCCTTCCCCAAATATTGGCCATTCTTGAGCGTCAGCAGCAACATTTGTCTAAATTAAACTTCCTTCCCCAAATATTGTCCATTCTTGAGCGTCAGCAGCAACATTTGTGTACCTAGGCAATCCTAACACAGCAATAAGTATGCATTAAACAAGCTGAGAGAGAAAAAATGACATTTTCTTCTGTAATTCATTCCACAATATACATTTTTAGTATAATTTAATCCCTGGACAGCTAGGATTCCCTAGGCATTTGTTTCCATTGGAACTCTGGAAGGCTCGCCTAGAATTGTTGGCACAGCCATAACAAGAAGCCAAGTACTAATGCAGAACATTGAATGTGTCACTCACACAGCTGCAGTTTTATTTAGGAACCCGAATAAAAGCATTTGAAACTTCAGCAGAAATAGCAATTAAGGGTAGAACCTTGTGTATTCATTTTGTTTGTAAACTAACCTAGCTTTCCAGAAAACCAAATTCCGTGTCATGTCCTCTACAGACGATGATATATACACTGTTCTGCTCATTTATATTGCTCCGGTAATATCATCTGGCTTCCCATTGGGATTCCCTAGGCATTTGTTTCCATTAGAACTCTGGAAGGCATGCCTAGAACTGTTGGCACAGCCATAACAAGAAGCCAAGTGGCTGAGAAAATGTTGTCAATATGCAACACAAGGCCATTGCCTCACAGGTCAGAGAATCTTAACTGTTAGAGCAGTACAACAATGGACCCAATGACTTCAGGAGGTGGTGAGCACTCCAATGCTGGAGGCAGTCAAGGGAAAACTGGACAGCCATCTGTCAGATCTGCTTCGATTTGGATTCCTGCCTGGAGCAGGGGGCTGGACTCAATGACCTTATAGGCCCCTTCCAACTCGATTATTCTAATCTTCCTTACCACTGCCACTAATTCTAGTGTGGGATAAGGATTTCCTAGCCATAGATCCTTGCAGGGAAAAATAGAGTCGGATCAGAAATGCTATCAGCCCCATGCCAACATGGCAAGGGATGATGGGAACTGCACTTCAACAACATCTGAAGGGCCCTCCAGGGATGTTAATAAGGGAAGCCTGATGTTGCCAGTCCAAGATAACGTCTCCTGGGAATGGTAGTCCAGACCAGATGCTTCAAAGAAATATAGAATACTGGAGCTTGGAAAAGTTACTGTTTGAGGCTGGAGGTTGCCAGAATCCCCCCCAGCTGCCCAGCCACCAGCCATTGCTGGCTAGGTAATTCTGGGAAATGCAGTCAAAAGTGACAACTCTCTTCAGCTTGGAGGGGAAAAAATCCCTCTCCTTCTCTTCATTCCCAGTCACTAATATTTAAACAGGCCACTATATAGTATATCTGCGGTAGTCTTATTTTCCATCCTTTTCGCTCATTCCCTTTTAAGACCATGACTTAAAGTCAGAAAATGGTGGCAACGATGGGCAAGCTTGCATTCTTTGAGAACCTCCATCACACATGACCACAGCCATTTCATTTGATCGAGACTTCTTCCTCCCGCCATTTTGCATTTCCATAGACGTAACTGACTCACATACACACACACACACACAAATAAGCGAAAGTCGGCTTAAGCAAAAAAGAAAAAAAAAGACCATCGTTATGTTAGTTGGTTGACAAAGAAGCATTGCAAGGCTTATGGAGCTGTTTGCTGTTTTTTACCAGGATTATCAACCCCAGTCTGAATGATATCATCCACGGTGACGCCACTCGAGGTGACTCTGTCTCTCAGTTTCTCATACAATTCCAGGGTGAGAACCTTGGCCATGTGGTTGTTGTGGGCACTCAAGTCCGGGTATTCCTCATCAGGAGGCAGTTTCTGGTTATTAAAGGGGGCCATTTTGATACCGCTAGAGAGTGACAGAAAAACACAAATACTGCAGTGTTAAAAAGACAGGACAGCAAAAGGTCGCCGAGATCTGCTCCCCCTTTATTTACCAAAGAAGTGCCACAGCGGATAACCAAGGTCTAATGGGGGAGGGAATATTTTAGAAACCGTTCAATCTGAAGGAGCTTTGAATTTACTGTTTAAGAGGTTTTGTCACCATAAAAAAAGGAGGGAGCGAGCCATATCGTTTCACTGAGTATCAAATGGAATATTTAGCAGAGCTGTTACATAAGGGTGTCGTATTGCCCAGATCAAGCAGGTGCATGCATTAATGAGTTTGCATTTCTCCACGGATCAGGCCATCCCCTGTAACTAATTCAAGGGCTTTGTACCGATACTCAGGAGTATTAAGTAGCTAAGTCTCTGGGACAGTGTTTGGATGCCATTTTCAAAGCAGCACTTCCTCGGTAACGGAGGAGGGAGAGCAGATCCGGCTCAAAGGCGGCCCCCGCATCCTTTACCTGGGTTGTCCACCCCAGTCTGAATCACATCGTCCACGGTAACTCCGTTAGAAGTCTTTTTATCCCGCAAGGCAGCATACAGCTCCAAAGTCAAGATTTTAGCCATATGATTGTTGTGGACACTCAGGTCAGGATACTCATCTTCCACACAAAAATTCTTCTTCAGGAGGTTGTGGCTGTTTGAGAATGGCATGGCGGGCACCTGATAGCAAGGAGCGGCTAAGGGGGAAGAAGAAGAAGAAGAAGAGAGGGCAAAGCCGTCACCTCGCCGCCGACGCCTCCAGGGTGCCAAGGGCACCGTCGGCGGAAGGAAGGACGCCAGGCCTCAGAGCAAAGTCACCTTGCCATCTGCGCTACCTGCCAGTTCCAATCGTCTACCCGCCTGGCACCTGGGTGGGTGGAGGATTGCCAGGTGCTGGGCAAACACTGTTCTACTGCTCCTCCTCCCGGCACAGGTGAGCGCCGGGACCCAAGGTGGTAGGAAACCCCAGCAGCCTTAAGAGATTCGCTCAAGGTCAGGTCCTTGGATCAGGGGCAGGAGCACCCAGGAATAGGGAGAAACAGCAGGTTCCCTCTTCCGCCACCGGCTCCTAGGCAGCTCTCCTCCAGCCGGAGCGCCTCCCTCCCTCCTTTCTGTCTTTCCCTCTCCTTCTCTCGGTCCCTTGGGGTCACCTTCAAGGGGGAGGGAGGAGCAGACGTTTTCCAGCCGGAAAGAGAGGAGCTCTCCCAAATTGGGAAGTCCTTCCTTGCACAATCCAGCTTTTTCCCCAACTCCCGAGGGAAGGGGGGGGGAGATGCCTCGGGAAGCGAGAGGAACCGCCCCGGAGGTCGAGCCTCCCACCCAGGGCGAGGAAGGGCCGCCTCGCCGCCGGTGCGCTTCCCTTGTGCAAGAGAAGCAAAGCCGGTTGGCGAGGCGGCGTCGGTGGCGGCGTCTTTGGCACGCCAACCGCCCGGCGGCGGGAGCCAGCCAAGCAGGCAGGTTAGGAGGGAAAGAGGGCGAGGATCGCCTTGGTCCACTGGCCGGAGGCGCCTGCCGAGGAGCAGGTGGACTGCCCGCCGCCGCCCGGGAACCGCGGCTAAGGCGAGGCAGAGCCTTCCCGCTCGCCCCGGCAGGGCGCTGGCTCTGCGCGCCGGGAGCGCAAGGCTTGGCGCGGTCCTCTGCCGGCTGCTGGCCGGGGATCGCGCGCCCCAGCCCGCGCCCTCCTCCCAGTTCAAGCTTCGCTCCGGCCCGGGGGAAACCCCGAGGGACCCCCGACAACCCTAACCTTTTGGGATCGGGGCCGGCGGGCGAGCTAAGCTGCTGGCCGGGCTCCACGCTCGGGGAGAAGGAGGGCGATCGCGGGAGCCACCCATTCCTACCCCTTCCGCCGCCGCCGCGTCTCCCTACTTTTCCTCGGAAGAGCAAGTAGCCGGGTCGCCGCGGCAGCCCTGATCCGGCTACTTACCAACCCCTTCCTTTTTTCCCCTCCCTTCCCAACCAAGCTTATTAGCCCAGGGGGAAAGGAACGAGCTGGAAACGGGCAGCCCTTTCGTTACATAACGAAACGCCTGCTCCGGGACGCCGCGTTCTGCAGCTCCCCTGCTAAATACCACTTCAATACCAGTTCCTCAGGAATTTTTAGGCTCCTAACTGTGCCGGCAACGACGCACGGCCAAAAAAGAAAGAAAAGCAAAAAAAGCGCCTTTGGTTTCGTTTTGAAAGGAGAAAATAAGCTCCCAAGGACCTTCCCCATTCCTTGGTCATTCTCGCTGCATCCAGAAAGCGGAGCGCCGCTCCTTCCTGCCTCCATCCCGCCCCGCCACTCGTTCGTGCCCCGCCGAGAGATGCTTCGTGAAGGACAAGCATCGCTTCTGTGGCCAGCCCCGAAAAGCTCCTCGTTCCTCCCCCCACTACAATGTCTTGAGCTCCCCTACCGCAAGGTGGGGGGGGGGAAGGAAGAAGAGAGGGAAGCACCGACCTGATCGCCCACCCAAACCCGCCAAGGGCCCTATTGCGCAGTTGCTCCGGCTGGCCTCGGGTACTTACCGAGCCAAGGGGGGGAAAATAAAAACCACACCAAAAGGCTTGCACCCGGCTTGTTCCACCCGCCCTGCTCTGCCAGAAAGACCTGCCGGGAATGGATCCTCACCCCCACCTTCCCATCAGTTTTATAGGCACCCAACGCGAGCCGCCGATTGGCCGGTATTTATATTCCATTCATTCCATTGGAGACTTGCTCCGAAGGAAGGGCGGCGGGGAGGGGGGGGGTTTGAGTCTTCTCCCCTTGTCTCTTCTGGCACGGGCTGCTCCCGGTCCGGCGGGGGGTTAGGAAGGGGGTGATGGCGCCCCAGACGTTCAACCCCTTGACAGACAAATAAAAGACCTTCTAAGAAAAGCAAGTTCCTTAGGGAAATTGGTCCCGCGTAGCCGGACCGGGCAGCAGGCGCGCGCGCATCCTTTGCTCGGGAGAGTTGGCCTGGAAAGCTTGCGAACTGGCAGCAAATGCAATACTGTACTTGGGTGTTTATGCGGGGTGGGGGGGTGATTTACTTTTGAGTAAGCCGTCCTCAGTGGAGGGTCCACCGACGGTGGAAGCCAGCGTATTCGGAATATTGCATTTTGGGGTCGGCCGGTAGATGCCTATTGGGAACGAGATTTCCTCGGTGCTGCAGGGAGAATGCCCTAGTGGTTACTAGCAAAACGGGGCTGAAGGACAAAATAAGAGCTTTAAGAGATTGGAGCTTGCGGGACGATAAGCGTCATGTGAGTGATTAGCTGCCTGTCGGTATAAGCTGCGCGGAAATCGTCAACAGCCGACAGCCAGGCAGGTCTGTGTGATGTGTCTAAGAGCAAAAGGCTGCCAGCAAGCTTTGGCATGTTTACTCAGGAGCAAGAGCGGCTGAGGCCAAATTCCTTCCCAACTGGATGTCTGCAGGACTGCAGATCACGTTCTGCAAGCAACTGTTGGTTGCAACCTCTCTCTTCCCCGGCATCCTGTCTAGAGATGGGTACGAACCGCTGTTTCGGCTGTTTTTGCCGGTTGGTTTTAGTGGCTGAACAGGTGTTTGGCGCGTCCCAGCCCCGCCTCCTCTGGTGGCACCCACTCAGCGGCAGTGCCCACTGGGGGGTGCTGCCCTTGAACTGGGTGCCCACCGGGGGGGAGGCGGGGTTGGGAAGCGCCAGACTCCTGATTGGATGATAAATGAAGGAGCCCAAATCGCTGAACTGGCCAGTGTGCTAATCTCTAGTTAGCAACACAGACACAGGCCACTATCCCGGCTAGCCATACTGATTAGGATGCTGGGAGTTGTTATCCAGTGAGAGAAGAATGCAAGTCTGGTATTCATTCATTCATTCATTCATTCATTCATTTTAAAGGTAGTCATACAGAATTGATGCTTTTAAAAAGTGACAGGGGTGTATTTCCCTGCAGTTCTCTTCCAGCTGATAAGATGTCTTCCTCTGTCTTTGATCAGAAAGTAAAATCCTAGCAGAATCGGTCAGGATGCAGTTGAGGAAGAAACTGTGTATCCCATACAGAAGAAACATTTTTAGTTGGGTGCAGGTGTTCCTTGGCCCAGCTGGCTTCTGCTTTTTTTCCCCTCTTTTTTTAAAGGAACAGGGCTCATATTGTGAAGGGCTACCAAGAGTTCATAATGGTCTCTCTACTGCCACTGCAGCTGGAGATACAGAGACAGGATTCCTTTAACTCTTTCCATATCAAAAGGGGGACACAGTCATTCCCTGGGCAGAATCCATCCTCTGATGCTATTCTGTCAGAATTTCCCTTTGTTGTTTATTCTGGGAAAGCAGGCAGGAGGCAGATCTAACTTTATCTTTGGGTGATTTCAGGTGGAGAAGCAAAGATTCCTTGCTGGCAATCACAGAACCGAGTTATCCTGGTAATTTGAAGTAACTAAGAGTGGATATTTGTGTGGAAGAATATTGTTGTTGCTGCTTATATGGCACATTTCTCCCAACAAGGGACCCAAAAGCGGCTCACAGCATTAAAATTCACCCAATTAAAAACTCAATAAGTTAAATATTATAAGACAAATTAAACAATATATAGATTAGAATAAGATTAAAAGATTAAAACATGAATACATGGAAAAGATTATAATTATCTGCTAAAATGGGGTTTAGGGATTCATTTATAATTGTTAAAAATCTGCCTGAAGAGAAGGTCTTTTAGCTTTTTTAAGAAGGATAAAAGGGGAAGGGGCCATCCTGATCGCCTGAGGGAGAGCCTTCCATAGCCTGGGAGCTGCCACCGAGAAGACCCTCTCCCGTGTCCCCATCAGCTGTGCTTGTGCTGGCAATGGGACCGTGAGGGGGGCCTCCTCTGCTGATCTTAATTGCCGAGAAGGCACATATAGGGAGATACGGTCCTTCAGGTAACCTGGATCCAAGCTGTATAGGGCTTTATAGGTAATGACCAGCACTTTGAATTGGGCCCAGAAACAGACTGGCAGCCAGTGCAGTTCTTGTAACAGGTGTGTTAGATGCTCCCTGTAGCTGGCCCCGGTCAGTAGTCTGGCTGCACAGTTTTGCACCAGCTTCAAAGGCAGTCCCACATAGAGTGCGTTACAGTAATCCAAACAGGATGTAACTAAGGCATGTGCCACTGTAGCCAAACACTGAGCTTCATTCACTACTACTTCGTTTAGTCGTTTAGTCGTGTCCGACTCTTCGTGATCCCATGGACCAGAGCACGCCAGGCCCTCCTATCTTCCACTGCCTCCCGGAGTTGTGTCAGATTCATGTTGGTTGCTTCACTACTACTACTACTACTACTACTACTACTACTACTACTACTACTACTACTACTACTACGCTATCAAGTCAATTCTGACATATAGTGACCTTCTTCAGGGTTTTCCAGATAGAGAATATTCAGAAGTGATTTACCATACCCTTCTTTTGGGGGGACATCCTGGGACTCTACGGCTTACATAAGGTTACACAGGCTGGCTTTACTCACAGGAGGCACAGTGCGGAATCGAACTCCCATCCAGATACTCAAACCACTGAGCTATCTGGCTAACTTTCCACATTCACTTCTACTAGTACTTAAAAGAAATCCATGGACTCAGAATTCTTTAATTTCATTTTGGGTAGTGGATCTTGGGGTTCAAGTAAAAAGCACAGTAGATGTTGCAAACCAGAAGCCTGCCAGTTAGATTTTAAAAATATATAATATACATACAATGAAGCAGGAAGATATCCGTACTGAAAGGAAGGAGCAAAACAGAATAACCCAGAATGATAAAACCACAAGAACAACAGCAACTATCTATTGAAATTCAGTAAAAGAATTGTATCAAAGCCTGGAAAAATTATTTTTTGAATGACACCTTTCAGATCCTTCCACTTAGCATGGCCAGTTGTGATAGGATGAAAAGAGATTTTCTTATAAGAGCACAATACAGGGCCTTTTCTGTAGCAGCCCCAGAGCTCAAGACAAACAGTGGTTTTAGATATGGCACCCAGATTCCCACAGCCAAATAATATCCTCCCCCCACTTCCAAAAAAATCAGTTTTCAAACTTCTGGGCAGCTGCTTGATCATGGAATTGATTCTCAAAGGAATAGAGACGAACCCCAACCCTATAGTGTTGGTTTGGCTTTTTACCTGCTGTTTTGTATTTTAAGGCTTTTGTTTATATTTACTTGATGGTAGGTTTGTGCTTTTTAAAAAATAGAAACAGCTTTGTGCGGTTGTTGTTAGGGCTTTTTAAAAAAAGATAAAATGGTCTGCCACATAAATGAGCATTAGGAAGGAAGGAGTAAGATGGAGCTTTCTGGACAGGTAGCTCCAAAGTGTGGGCGCAGCAGCACCCACTGAAAAGAGTGATGCCCAATAAACAGAAAAAAGCACATGGGATTGAGAGAGTGATGGAAAACCCTCTTGCTGTACCTTTAACAGTTTGGCCTTGTGAGGAATGGTAGTGCAAGGCTGTGACTCTTTTTCCCCTTTAGACCTCTTGCTCTATGCAGAAGGTCACCCAGGGGATAGTGAGTGGAGGTCCTTAAGGGGTGGGGCTTGCATGACTGTGTAGAACATACATGGAAGTGACAGCTGGACCATAAAGAGGCTGTGTAGAACATACATGGAAGTGAGAGCTGGACCATAAAGAAGGCTGACCGCCAAAGAATTGATGCTTCAGAATTGTGGTGGTGGAGGAGACTCTTGAGAGGCCCCTGGACTGCAAAGAGAAACCTATCGGTTCTGAAGGAAATCACCCCTGAGTGCTCACTGGAAGGACAGATCCTGAAGCTGAGGCTCCAATAGTTTGGCCATCTCATGAGAAGAGAAGACTCCCTGGAAAAGACCCTGATGTTGGGAAAGTGTGAAGGCAGGAGGAGAAGGGGATGACAGAGGACGAGATGGTTGGACAGTGTCATCGTAGCTACCAACATGAATTTGACACAACTCTGGGAGGCAGTGGAAGACAGGAGGGCCTGGCGTGCTCTGGTCCATGGGGTCACGAAGAGTGGGACACAACTTAACGACTAAACAACAACAAATAGAACATACATATTTCTTTCTCTTTTTGTGTCAACCCTATCTTTGCAGGCCTCATGAATTAGACTGGAGGTTTGCAGGTTTTCCCCCTCAATGAATTAGTGGATTTGATGTATGCAGCAGATTTTCTTCCAGTAGGCACTGTTTATATACTTACAAATAAAATCAGCTTTATAGAAATTCTATGAGGCTTCACTGCTCACTCTCTCCAGCCTGGGAGAACTAAGGCCATAAAGACAGAGATGAGAAATGTTTGTTCATTCAGATGTTGTTGAAATAGAGCCTTCATACACACTAGGAAGCACAGCCAGTGATGAGAGGAGCTGCAGTCTTAGAACAGCTGAAGGGCCATATCCCTCCTTAAGCAATGGTACTGGATTTTATCATGTGAACAGGAAGCAGAAACGGAAGCTTCCTATTTATTTCACCCCACCCCTGTGGGATCTTTGTGTTTAATACCTGCAGAAATTCAGCAGAAGCTGCCTTTCTCAGCATTTGTAAACAGGAAGGCTGCATCTTGGAGATTATTTTGCCCGTCATGCAATCATTTAGCAGCACAGCTCAGAAAATGTATTTTTGTGGTCATGCTAGCTAGAGTTTCTGAGAGCTGGTTCAAAAAAATAACATTTCCAAATT